GTGCACTTATCTAGTATGGTCTGGTTTTTTTCCCCACCCTTTTTCTGTTTTATTTTCACATTTTTATTAGGTATTCCTCTATAATGAAATCTTGTTTCTACCCTCGCACCCCAGTACTGCCGTAGCACTCCTGCTATTCCACAGTCTACAACACTGCACACAATCCTTCAATCATATAAAGCAGGCACAAACAACACTAACAAGCTGCTATCTTAGCCTCGAATAACTTACCAGGCTATCAGAAAATGAATGTATTTAAATGTGTAATACGAAATTGCGACCCTACCGTAACCAGTGGCAGATTTCCCTGCATTTCACCAAAAGTATGCCAGCATGCCCTGTCCCCTGGCTAACACTGCTTTCAAGCAAACTGAATCCTGAACCTACAGGGACCTGCAGAGCTGTAGACGTTTGTGTTATACATTTCTCATCATAAGGAATAATAAAAAAAAAAAATTAAAAAAATTGAGACCAGGTATTTATTGCACGTAAAGCATTCAGCTTTAATAAACTACTTTTCAACATCACGTTTGACTTTTTTTTTTTTTTTGCTATCCACCATCTTAGTGGTTCACATTCAGAATTGATTTATGCAATGTTTAATCCTTTTAAAAATCTTTCCTATTTTTTCCTATTTTTATTCTTATTCTTCCTATTCTTTATCCCATTTTGCTCCTATTCTTCCTATTTTTACATGGAGATTGTGTTCAAGATTACTGCCAAACCGACATCACTAATACTAAAAACTTCTGATCCTGGCTGTCAACCTTAAAACTCATGAACTTCCCCAAATAGCCATATACGTATCATAACATCACCTATGCTAACACACACCATTCTTAGATAATCTGTGTCTACAGAACAAACACTTCCTAGAGAACAGATCCTGTATCCATCTTCATCAACCTGAGTCAATGCTAATCTGAAAGGCTTACGAAAGTAAGAGATGAATGTTCATCAAATATTTGATCGTTCTAAAGGGACTGTCAAACAGAATGCCAATTAAGATACGAGCTCGGGTTTATTATGAGCCATACTAAGAGGAAAAACCAGTTTTACCTAAGTCATCACTTATTTGTCACAAAGAGTAATAACCTCCGGACCTCATAACGACCTGGGTGCCAGACTCGAAGCAGGGGCAGGAAAACTTCCTACGGGTGATGCAATACCCCTGCTCAGAGACGGCTGGGAGTTTAGCACTAGAGTGACAAAGAAAAATACAAACAGGAGAAAACACACCCCAAAATCTCAGAAATGAGATGAAATGGTTGCTCGGCAAAACTTTGGCTATTTCTGGATTGCACTATAGCTTATCCTGTCCTTTACTGATTTTTCAGAAAACCTCTTTCTGCAATGAGTTAGGAAGAAAACTGAATTGGTGTGGGATAGTGTCTATGAACTTGACTGCGTTTGAACGGAGAGGAAAAAAAAAAAGAGATGGCACATTGGGATTGAAAACATGGGAAGCAGCAAAGACCAAGGCACAAAAGCAAGAGTGGAAAGAGAAGACAGTGGGGGTGCCAAGGTTAACATGACGACTGGAGAGAAAAGGGCAACGGGAAGCACGACGAGAAATGAGATCCAAGATTTAAGCTTGGACAAAACCGTGTAGCTCTGAAACATCTGAACTCGCTCAGATGGACAAAGGAGTAAGTAGGAGAGGAATATGAAAAAAAGATGGTTAAATCCACAGGAAAGGAAAATAATGTTTGCAGTACCGGCTTAGACAAACTGGGAGATTCAATAGCATCATTAGAGAGAGACGAAGGCTGGCTGCTAGTAAGGCAAGTGTCCTGGTTTCGGCAGGGATAGAGTTAATTTCCTTCCTAGTAGCTGGTACAGTGCTGTGTTTTGGATTTAGGATGGGAACAAAATTGATAAGGCACCGATGTTTTAGTTGTCGCTAGGTAATGCTTACACTGGCCAAGGACTTTCTAGTTTTCCATGCTCTACCGACTGAGAAGGCTGGAGGTGCACAAGAAGCTGGGAGGGGGCACAGCCAAACTGGCCAAAGGGACATTCCATACCATGTGACGTCATGCTCAGTACATAAACTGGGGGAAGCTGGCCGGGGGGGCCGCTGCTCGGGGACTGGCTGGGCATCGGTCGGCGGGTGGTGAGCAATTGTACTGTGCATCACTTGCTTTGTGTATTATTATCATATTATTATTATTATCATCATTTTATTTCAATTATTAAACTGTTTTTATCTCAACCTACGAGTTCTTCTCACTTGTGCTACTCCAATTCTCTTCCCCATCCCACCGGGTGGAGGGGAGTGAGCGAGCGGCTGCGTGCTGCTTAGTTGCCGACTGAGGTTAAACCACGACGGCCTTTCTTGCAAAGGCCAAAAACTTGGAAAGCTTGCAAGAGGTAGACCCAAATTTTCTCCACTGTAAATGGGAAGGGATAAGACTCAATTAACAAGCAAATCGCTTGTCACTGCCCAGTCCATCAATAAGCCAGTGCCAAGAGAAAACTGTGGCGATTACTAGCACATTCAGATTTAGAGGCTGAAATGACACCGCTCATGTTCTTTACAGAAAAAAAATAATAAAACCAAAACCATTTGAGTGGTAATATTATTAGGAAACACCCTTCTTGATTCGCTTGCATTACTTCACAGCATTTCCAGAATTTAACCCAACAGATATGAGGTGCTCTTATACTTGTTTCTTTACCGGCATGAAAGCTGCTAACCACCAGCGATAACCGATTTCTCCGGCATTATGAGCTTAAATAACACCTGACAGCACGAGTCCCCGCGAACATGCCCACAGAGCAGCCACGCACGTGGCTAATGGACTCACGCAGGGCACTGGAGGATATGCTGGAGTGGATTTCCACTTAACACCTATTACAAGAGGAAGAAAGGAAAGTTTATTATAACGTAACATGCGACATAAATATATGTCAGTTGTCATTCCGTGTGACATCAACTTTCATTTTACCTCGGGTCATTATTTAAGTAATAAATGCTAACAAGGTGAGCTTTATCATCCCATGGAGTGTATCCGGGAGGTAGAGACACAAGGTGATGGCAAGAACGCTCGAAACATGATAATTCCTGACAGCTGCTGCTTGAGCACAAGTTAAATTGAACAGTTTATCTCAGCATAAAGATGTTATAAGGTTTTATGTTTAATTTAAAAAAATTAACATAAAACCCAGAGAAAGCAGAGTTAGGCAATCTTTCACAAACATGACATACTACAATCACTGTATAAGCTGGATTAGTACTTATTACCATGCTACTAGAGAATTAAGCTGTTTTTAGACCACCAAAGAGCTTTAAATTGCAACTTTTGTCTCTGTAAAACAAACCTATATTTAAAACGTCTGCTAAATTCAAATTAACAGCTACATCATTAACTTACCATCTCACAACCCCCCCCCCACCCCCCCATTTCAACTGCTATTATGGTATTCTTATCTAGACCTATCAACGCTACAACATAAAATAAATATATACAGTACTCTTCAATATTGTGCAAATCATCGCAAAACCTGCGTTGAAGGTCACATTTCTAACACGACTGCCCTAGCCCTCCTCTCCGAAATATCCCCAAGTATTTGTCTGTGTTACAAGTGACCTTCTTGCATAGAGCAGGACCATCACACATGCAGCAGCATCGCTGCCTTGGAGGCCGGCCAAATTTCAGGGCCACCATCCACACAAGCCCCGGTCTTATGCTAAGCTTGTGCTTAATCTGAATCACTTAATAGTCCTTCTGACTTCTGAGGAACTACTTATGTGAATTAAGTTAAGCGTGTGCTTAATTCATACAAGTATTCATGGGAAGGAAGCTGAGCGTGCTTGCAGGTTCGGAGCCACGATGCGTCTGGAGAACGCTCTGACCTTTGCTATTGTCTTCCCCGTTATTTCACTCCAAAGGACTGAAAAGCTGTAAAATATAAAAAACTTTACTTTTTTTTAATTATGGCAGACAAAATGACTACTATAGGTTTCCATTTCTATCAAGCAAATTATAAAAGTAAAGGTGCTAAAGTATTTTTATTTTGCTTTATAAATCTTCGTGTCACGTAACTGCGATTTACTCTTTTATGGCATTGCCCTAAATCTTTCAATTAAATTCCCATGCAACTTAACTAAAAACACATTTTGCCTTCCTCTTGGGAGACCACACAGGGCATATTTATGTATCTATGGATATGGAGCCTGAACTCTCCGGTTCACCAGGCTTACAGCACAAAGCGAGTTTAAAACCACCTGATTTGTACTGGAATATTCCCTCTGTCTGGCAGAAGCTCAGCCAGTATGACAGACTGACAGACGCGGCCACTGTTTGCATCGCAGCACAGGTAACCCAGTTCTCCCTCGAAAAGGAGGAATACCGTAGGGTACGATCCTGCAGCAGCAACAGGGACTGTCCTGCACTGCAAATGAAATCCAAGGTCGTAAGTCCCTGCTGCAAAACAACCACATTCGCAGTAAAATGAGTTTAGGATTGTAGATCCGGCAGGTTTTCCAGGTGCAGTATTACAATAAAAGAGAGTTAGATTTGGATATCGCTACAAAT